AAGGAAAGGAAAGGAAAGGAAAGGAAAGGAAAGGAAAGGAAAGGAAAGGAAAGGAAAGGAAAGGAAAGGAAAGGAAAGGAAAGGGCACCTTGTATCTTGTCTGACCGCCCTGGGTTAAAGCTGGATATCAACAACAACAGAAACAGAAGAAAGTCTACAAACTCATGGAATCTGAACAAGTCACTGCTGAATGAAAAGCAGGTCAAGAGAGAAATAAAGACGGAAATGAAAACTTTTTAGAACAGATGAAAATGAAAACACAGCATACCCAAACCTATGGGACACAATGACCACAGTTCTAAGAGGCAAGTTCACGGCACTATGTGCCTATGTCAAAAAATTAGACAGACCCCATATTAGATACTCAGTGACACCGCTGAAAACTCCGGAGCAGAAGAAATAATGCCAAATGGAGTCGATGGCAAGAAGTGATCAAAACCCAAGCCGAGACTGGTGAAAGAGAAACGAACAACAACCGAACTAGGAGGAGGAGTCAGCGGAACTAAGAGTTGGCTCTTTAAGAAAACCAACAAACGTGGCTGGCAAATTGTTAGCCAACTTGAATAAAAGGTGGAGAGAGGAGATTCAAACTAATAGAATTAGAGATGAAGAGAGGGACATCACAACAGACTCTCACTAAGAAAATTCGGAGACTCATAAGGACATACTTTCCTTTGGCCTGCTTTGGGGACCCTTTTCATCCTACCGAGTTACCTCCTCAGCCTTACTATGAGCAGAAGTGCCTGGTCTTACTGTGGATGGAAGGGAATGGGGGCGGAGCTGGGAGAAGACGAGGGATGGGATAAATATATGCAAGAATAAGTTTTTAAAATTAAAAAAAAAATCTGTACTCCACCAAAATGGAAAGCCTAAAAGAAATGAATAAATGTCTTGTTATATATGACCTACAAAAGCTAAATCAAGACCAATTAATAATTTAAACAGATCCATAATCCCTAGTGAAATAAAGGCAGCAATTAAAAGTCTCCCACCCACCCCCCCAAAAAAATCTAGGGCCAGATAGATTCAGCGGAGAATTCTACCAGATCTTCGAAGACTAATTCACACCATTTCTTGAATTATTCCCCAAAATAAAAACTGAAAGAGAATTGCCTCATTCTTTTTATATGGCCACTATTATCCTGATTCCAAAACTATGCACAGACCCAACAAAAAGAAATGAGCACACATGCAAAAAATTCTCAATAAAATACTTGCAAACCAAATCTAAGAACATATCAAAAATACTATCCACTATGACTAAGTTGACTTCATTTCAGAGATTCAGGGATGGTTTGACATATGTGAATAGGTAAATGTAATCTACTACATAAACAGACCAAAAAACAAAACCACATGACCATCTCATTAGATGCAGAAAAGGAAAAGGCCTTTGACAACATCCAACATCCTTTCATGATAAAAATCCTAGAGAGACTAGGGATACAAGGGACATACCTCAACATAATAAAGGCAATTTACAGTAAGCTCACAGCCAGTATCAACCTAAACAGAGGAAAAACTCAAACCAATTCCACTAAAATCATAAATAATAATACAAAGACATTCACTCTCTACAGACCTTTCAATATAGTACCTGAAGTCTTAGCTAAAGCAATAAGACAACTGAAGGAGATCAAGGGGATACAATCAGCAAAGAAAGATCCAACCTTTCTTTATTTTTAGAAATGCTTTTTTTTTCTCTCTTTTTTTATTTTATTTTACAATACCATTCAGTTCTACATATCAGCCACGGGTTCCCCTATTCTCCCCCCTCCCACACCCTCC